CACCTGTAGTCCCAGCTACTTGGGAGACAAAGGCAAGAGAATCGCTTAAGTCCAAGAGTTAGAGATTGGTGTTGAGATGTGACGCCACGGCACTACCGAGGGCGGACTCTGTCTCAAAAAAAAAAGCCGCTAAGATTCCACATCTCTTTTCCCTTCTTACTGTTTATGCCAACAATTAGAAAAGTCTCTACTAGCTAGGCATGGTAGCTTAAGCTTGTAGTCCCAGCTACTCAGGAGGCTGAGGCAGGAAGACTGCCTTGGGTGACACAGCAAGATTCTGCCTCTAAACAAACAACAAAAAAAGTCTATAATACATTTAAAAAATTAAAAAAAGATTTTTGCTATGGTCTGAATGTTTGTGCCTCCAAAGTTCATATGTTTAAACCTAACCACCAATATGATAAGTCCCAGCCTTATTGTATGGCCAGAGCATGGACTTATGGTGTGAGAGCCTAACCAATGCCAGGGTGAGGAGGTGGTCTTTGGGAGGAACAGGATCAGTGTCCTTATAAAAAGAGGTGCCAGAGAGCTCCATTTCCCACCCCACTGTGTGAGGACACAATACGGCAGCACCATCTTCACCAGACACTAAAATCTACTGGCACCTTGATGTTCAACTTCTCAGTCTTCAGAACTGCAAGAAACAAATTCCTGTTGTTTCTAAGTCAACCAGTTTATGGTACTTTGTTACAGAAGCTTGAATAGACCAAGATAACCATCCTGGAAAAAGTTACACATCCAGGAATGTTGAAGTTCATGATTGCAAAACTCAATCACTACTATAGTACCTACAGGGAACATGCAATGTCTCATAGTACAGTTCTTAATTAGCTTTAAACTCCAATAGTAATTAGGAAGGGGGAAAAATCAAAGTAAAGAACATTTTACCTTTCCAAACCAGCCATTTCCAATTTCCTGTATATAGTTCAGACTATGGCGGGCAACTTGAGACTTCAAACCTTCTGTAGAGAAAAGAACATTAAAAATTAAATGTAAGTTAAGTATCTAACTAAAATAAATATCAAATACATAACCTGTAAATTACAAACACTAACATAAATTTTACACTTGTGCTAGTAAAGGTAGAAATAAACACATAAATACCTCTTTCACCCAAAATAGTTTTAGGTTTTAAAACTGACCATATTTACTGAATGAGTATCCTACTGTGACCCCTTAATATCTTATACTGTTTTTTTCTGGTCTAGCTACTCTAATGTAACCATCACTCACCACTCCAATGGCCTTTACTTAGTTCTTATTTTTACAATCTCTTTCAATAGCTCACCTGGATGCAGGATTAACCCTCTTAAACTACTCTCCCTTAATTTTTTAGGAACAGCTTTAGTTAAGTATAACTGATACACAATAAAATGCACATATTTAAAGTACAGCATTTAATGCACTTTGATAGATGCATGCACCTGTAAAACCATCACCAAAATAAAATAGTGAACATTTCTAACACCACCCAAAGTTTTCTCATACCCCTTAGTGATTTCTCCCTCCACCTCTAAACAACGATTTATGCACACTATAATTTGCATTTTCTAAAATTTTATGTACCTGGAATCATACAGTATGCACTCTTTAATGATTTGGCTTACATCAGTTGTTTTTAAGATTCAGTGAAGTTTTGGGGCATGTCAAGAATCCTTCCTTTTTTATCACTAGAGTTTTCCACTGAATGGATATTCCAGAGTTTGGCTATTTTATCCAAAGGCTGATGAATATTCATGTTGATTATAGGTTGGGGATATCATAAATCAAATTCCTATAAACATATGTGTACAAGTCTTTGTACAGACATAAGCTTTCATTTCTCTTGGATAAATACCAAGGGGTGAAACGGCTAGACCATATGGTAGGTGTATACCTAATTTTTTAAGAAGCTACCAACTGCTTCTTGAAATGGAGTTCCAGTTGCTGCATACTTTGCCATCACTTGGTCTGGTCAGTCTTTTCCACTTTAGCCATTCTGGTACATGTGCTGCCGAAGCAAGCACTCCACTTTAACCATTCTAAAATGTAAACAACCTTATTTTAGTTTTAATTTTCAGGTCCCTAGTGACTAATGATATTGAATACCTTTTCACTTGCTAATTTGCCATCTATATATCTTCTGAGGCAAAGTATCTGTGCAAATCTTTGCCTCACTTTTACTGGGGTGTTTTCTCACTATTGAATTTTGAAAGTTTCTCCTATTCCATGGCCCAACTTTTCATTCCCTTAATAGTATCTTTCAAAATGCAGAAGTTTTTAATTTTGATAAAGTCCAATTTATCAATATTTCCTTTAGTAAAGCAAGTTTTTAGTGTCATAGCTAATAAATCTTTGTCTAATAAAGATCACAAAGATTTTCTTCTATAAGTTTGATAATTTTAGGTAGGCTTGTGATGCCTTTTGAGTTAATTTTTACATATGGTAGAAGACATGAATCAAGGTTCATTTGTTTGCCTCTGAATATCCATTTGTTCCAGCACCATTTAGAAGAGGTGACATCAGTGGATGGTTGAATAAGGAACTGTAAGGGCTGTCCCTTCTTAGAACACTAAAATCATTTCAAAAACCTATCAATATCAACCTTATCAGAACTCTGGAAGACAGTCAAAGGTTTCTAGTAACCAAAGTGAACCAGGAGTTCACTGAAACTGAAACAAGGTTGAACTTGTGGCTTTACCTAATCCTAAGCCTCCTTCCTCCCACCGCCCCCACCCCTGCCAATGCAGCAGCAAGCAGTCTTTAAAAGATGGTTTTTATTCCCAGTGAAGATACCAGTTTAGGAGAGATCAAAGAGAACCTTCTTCCCAAGGGACTGTGGTTTTTTTTTTTTTTTTTTTGACCGGGCTGGGGTTTCCCTAAAGGACTGCCACAGGGGCTTCCCTTTGTAGCTCAGTAAGTACTCTATAAGGGTCATGTGCTCCTTGAAAACAACAAAAGTCAAATAAACAAGCCACTGCTGCCTGGGGCAAAAGATAACAGTTGAGGCAAACAATACAACTTTTAGAAAATGCAAATTATATTCTGCTAAAAGCCTTGGCAGAACACCTGGGAGGGAGATTTTAGGGGGAAAAGTGACTCTGAAACACTACTGCCTGTGTAGGAAACCTGTATAGCCGTGGGCATACTCCAGGAAGGATGTGTGCTCAGAAGGACTTGAGAAGCAAATAAACTTTCAACCAGTCTATAAAGGTTAAGGCAGAGTTGTAAACAGTCCAGCTAAGTGACGAAAGAATGTTCTAACACAGAGCCAATCTGCAAAGGCCTAGACAGCATTTGTCTTTCTTTCTTTTCCACTTTTTTATACATATTATTCAAAATGTCCAGTTTTCAACAAAAAATTACAAAGCACACAAGCAAGAAATTATAGCCTATTTACAGGCCAGAAAGAAACCACCGTGAGATAACATTGGACATATTAGATAAGACCTTAAATCAACTCGCTTAAATATATTTCAAGAGCTAAAGGAAACCATGGACAAAGAACTAAAGGAAATCAGGAGAATGATGTCCTACCAAATAGAGTAAATCAAGAGTAAAGAGACAGAAATTATAAAAAGAAACCAAATAGAATTTTGGAGCTGAAAGTATAGTGACATGAAAAATTTACTAGGGGATGTTCAAAAACAAACTTAAGCAGACAGAGCATTCAGTAAACTTGAAGATAAGTCAAATGAAATTATCCAGTCTGAGAAGCAGAAAGGGAAAAGAATGAAGAAAAATGAACAGAGCCTAAAGAAGTTGTGACACACAATCAAATGAACCAACATACACAGAATAGAAGTCCCAGAAGAAGAAAAAAAGAGACAAAAAATATTTGAAGACATCAAGGTAGAAAATGCTCCAAATCTGTTAAAGGACATGAATCTACACATCCCACAAACTCAGAAAACTCCAAGAAAGACAAACTCAAAGAAATCCATCCGGCTCGGCGCCTGTGGCTCAAGTGGCTAAGGCGCCAGCCACATACACCTAAGGTGGTGGGTTCAAATCCAGCGTGGGCCCGCCAAAAACAACAACCATGGCTGCAACCAAAAAAAAATGGCCGGGCGTTGTGGCAGGCGCCTGTGGTCCCAGCTACTTGGGAGGCAGAAGCAGGAGACTCGCTTGAGCCCAGGAGTTGGAGGTTGCTACCGGGTGTAATGCCATGGCACTCTACCCAGGGGGACAGCTTGAGGCTCTGTCTCAAAAAAAAAAAAAAAAAAAGAAATCCATCCACACTGAGACATACTATAATCAAACCCAAAACAGAGAATCTTAATAGCAACACAAGAAAAGCAACTCATCATAGGGTGTCACCTGTGGCTCAAAGGAGTAGGGGGTTGGCCCCATATGCTGTAGGTGGCGGGTTCAAACCCAGCTCCAGCCAAAAACATAACAAACAAACAAACAAAAAAAAACTTATCACAAAGTGATCCTCAATAAAATTAATAGCCAATTAATCATCAGAAACCATGGAGGCCAAAAGGCAGTAAGATACACATAAAAGTCCTGAAAGAAAATTTCTATAAATCAGGAATTCTGTATCTGGCAAAACTATCTTTCAAAAATGAAGGAGAGGCTCGGTACTAACAGTTCAGTGAGTAGGGCACAAGCCACATACACCAGGGCTGGTGGGCTTGAACCCAGCCAGGGCCTGCTAAACAACAATGATAACTGCAACAAAAAAATAGCTGGGTGTTGTGGCGGGTACCTGTAGTCCCAGCTAATTGGGAGGCGGAGGCAACAGAATTACTTACGCCCAAGAGGTGGAGGTTGCTACTGTGAGTTGTGATGCCACAGCAGTCTACCAAGGGTGACACAGTGAAACTGTCTCAAAAATAAGGAGAAATGAAGATATACTGAGAAAAACAAATGTTTAGGGAGTATGCTGCCAGCATACCTGCCCTACAGCACATGTTAAAGTGAGAAACAAAAGGACACTAAACAGTAACAAGAAGCCGTTTAAAAAAATAAAGATCTCTAGTAAAGGTGAATATAAAAGGTAGTATTATTGTATTATTGGTATATAGCTCCACTTTTTATTTCTCACATAATTTAAAAGACAAACATAAAAAATTAAAAATCTACATTAATAAGCACAAATGCATGAATATGTAATCTGTAACAACTACATATGGGGAAGGGACTGAGCTATTTAGGAACAGTGTTTTTACATGCCATTAAAGTTAAGTTGATATCAATTCAAACTCAATTGTCATCACTTTAGGATATTAATTGTAATGTTAATGGTAATCACAAAGAAAATATCTTAAGAATATAATCATAAGGGCATGAGAAAAGGAAATCAAAATGGTGTGTCAAAAAAATTACTTTCAAAATCTCAATGGCCTATTTTGCATAAATAGAAAAACTGATCCTCAAGTTTATATGGAATTGTAAGGGATCCCAAATAGCCAAAAGAATCTTCAAAAAGAAAAACAAAGTAAAAAGATTCACACATCTTGTTTTTAAAACTTACTACAGAAGGAGGGAGGACAGGAGGTGGGATCTCACCTAATATGCACATTGTGAGGGTGTATAACACGCCCCCTGAGTGAGGGTTCTTCTACAAATGGAACTCTACCTTGGAAGTGAGAACAATGTAACCTAAATACTGTACTGTCATATTAATTTGAATAAAGTTTAAAAAAAATTTTTTAAGAGACAAAAAAAAAAAACAAAACCTTACTATAAAACAGAAGCTAAAGTAATCCGAACAGTGTGGTGACAGCACAAGTACAGACATATAAATCAAGGGAAAACCCAAACAAATATGGGGAACTGATTTCAAAAAGGGTGCCAATTCAACTCAAGGAGGAAAGAACAATTTCTTCAGACATTGTTACTGAGACAGCCAGATATCCACATTAAAAAGAATTAACATGGACCCTTAACTCACACCCTTTAAAAAAAAAATAACTCAAGGGCAGGCACAGTGGCTCACATCTATAATCCTAGTACTCTTGAAGGCCAAGGCAGG